CAGATGAAAACTCTGGAATCACATTCCTTACCGTAAGCCATCCACCTGAAGTCACACACACACACACACACGCACACACACACACACGCACACGCACGCACACACACACGTACATATGTACACACACAGACACACACTCCACATGCAGACACACAGACACACACACACACACACACACACACACACACACACACACACACACACACACACGCACACGCACATATGTACACACACAGACACACACTCCACATGCAGACACACACACACACACACACACACACACACACACACACACACACACACACACACACACACACACACACACATACGTATGTACACACACACACACCAAGTTAATCAGGATTAAGTTTCATCCCGCTACACTGTGTGTGTGTGTGTGTGTGTGTGTGTGTGTGTGTGTGTGTGTGTGTGTGTGTGATGACTCTGGATCATCATGGAGCCAACACACTCATCCAGCTGAGCGTGTAACCCAGATTATAATCTATGCTGCATTAAGGGTGTGGTTATTTTTCAGCGATATGCAACAGCTGGGCTGTGTGTAAATGTGCACGTTCACCAACAGCGACCATACACCCTGGTTAGCTTTAGCGCGTGTCAGGGGGCTCGGGGAACCCTTGCATCACACGGTGGGGTTACACGCCCACCCCATAACCAGAGGGTTGGAGGTTCAAGCTCCGTCTCTTGCAGTTGTTGTGTCCTTGGGCAAGACACTTCACCTGCTGGTGGTGGTTGGAGGGACTGCTGTCGCCATTAGATGCCCGGGGTGGCTGTGGCTACATGGTAGCTCATCATCACCAGTGTGTGAATGTCTGTTTGTGTTGTAAAGTGCCCTGGGGGGTCGTAGGACCCTAGAAGGTGCTCTATCACATACAGGCCTTTTACACGATAGAAGAGTACTATGCAGCGTCTCGCATCAAACAGCAGAAAGGTTCCAGTCAAACGGACACACACACACTCACACACACACATCTAGGTATGTGCTTTACACCATGAAATCCTCCAACCCTAACCTACAGCTCAAACCAGCCACACACCAGGCTCAGGGCCCACCTGGCTGGGAACACCTGTAAAGACCACTTAAGTTAATCCTGATTTATGAAACATGCGCTTTCCCACCTGTGCTACCCAGGTGCTCGTGTGCGTTCTCAGTCATTTACATACAGAAACGCCCTCATTTACCCATATTTGGTCACGCTAAGTCCTCAGCACGTCAGGATTCCTGCGTTCTACCTGCAAAAAGAAAACTTTGTAGCGGGATCGAGACGCTGGCTACCGAAGCGCAAAAGAACCAAACAAGCTGCAAAGGTCATAAACGCGGTCGGAACAGAGGAGAGGTTCCTCTCAGGAATAAATACTTTCATCTGATATATCGTGGAGTAACGGGTTCTCGGATCTGTATGGTAAATCTGTCGCTCCACAAAGGATCCCGAATCCCAGCATGGCTCCAGACGGATCTGCTGCCGGCGCGCTAACGGAGACACGTCTACTGCAGACAGCAGCTCTGACAAGTCCTTAATAATAATACAGAAACCATATTTTATCCAACGCATCTCAGGCAGAACCACGAGGCGTTTCACAAGGACACAAAATAATAGGAATTAAAAAGGATTAAGAACATCATAAAAATGGGAACCGGGACCGGAAAAGGGCAGCTTGCCAACTCCGGGTCAGGAGACGTCCTGCCTTAAGTGGAGGAGTTCAGGTACCTCGGGTCTTGGGAAGGAACGAAGCGGGAGATCCGACAGGCGGATTGGGGAGTCTGCAGTGAGGCGGACGCTGAACCGGGAATGCAAGGCTCTCCATTTACCGCCCAGTCCTCACCTACGGTCACGAGCTCCGGGTCAGGACTGAAAGAACAAGATGGCGGATACAAGCGTCCGCAGTGAGTTTTCTCTGTGGGGTGGTGGGCTCAGCCTTAGGGATAGGGGTGAGGAGCTCGGACATTCGGGAGAGACTCGGAGAACCGCTGCTCCTCCATATGGAGAGGAGTCAGTTGAGGTGGTTTGGGCATCTTGTTAGGATGCCTCCCCAGGGAGGAGTTGGCACGTGCTGCCGGCAGGAGGCCCCCGGTCCACCCAGGACACGTTGGAGAAAGTGCTTCTCCGATCTGGCCCAGGAACGCCTCAGGGTTCTGCCGGAGGAGCTGGTGGAGGTGGCCGGGGAGAGGACGGTCTGGAACTCCCTAGTTGGGATGCTGCCCCCAACCCGACCCCGGCCCGGAGAGGCGGAAGAAGACCAGACGAGATGATAAAAATGGGAAGAGTAAAAATCGTGATTACAAAGACTCTAAATCCACTCCACAAGGTCAGATTCCCGTCGGGTGTTGTAGCACCAGTCATGTGACTCGCCTAACGATTTATTTATGGGTAGTGGATGACTGACAGCGTCGGTGTGGCGGTTCCCCCGTTCTACCTCCAGATGCTGTTCCCACACATTATTATAGTAAGGAACACACACACACACACACACACACACACACACACACACACACACACACACACACACACACACACACACACACACACACACACACACACACACACACACACACGATGAATACGCTCAGATGTGGGCATAAGTCCGGTGGGTAGACGAGTCCCCCGGAGACCGACACACCAACCGTGTCTAGGCTGGACTACATCAGACCTGTAGGCTGCGGCTGGTCCTGAACTCGGCAGCCAGATGCATCAGGTGATCTCATCGCTCTGGTCCTGACTTCGGATCTCGTTTAGGATTTTAGTCTGTTTTTCAGTCTCATGCAGGTGCAGCTCTGCTACACCTTTCTGATGTGTGACAGAAACGTGTTCTGCAGGTCATGCTAGACCAGCGGTCCTGAGGTGGAAGAGTAGCACCGGGGTGGCCATGCCGTCTCTGGGTCAGACCGGCCACCGCCCAGCAGTGTAAAAAGTTGTATTTTCTATCACTTTTCTTGAATTAGCATGCTGCTGGCCTGCTGTGTTCATCCTTCCTGTTTTATTAGAGTCATCTTGTTTTAGCGCATCAGTGTTCAGCCTCGACCGCCGTGCGCTTTATGAATAAACACATAATTAAGCTAAAAACATGATAATAATGAAAGTGTGTCTCTGCTGGGTTATATGCATGTTTGACGAGTGGGAGTCGTGTCCCCTTTCCTACTCCAACACGTCTGATACCGGATCTGCAGAATATTAAACATCTAAAGCACATTCCTGATTTTAGCTTTTCCAACCTGCTGGGAAGACTGGTTTGTGTTACACGCAGTGTCTACGTGTGGAGTGTGTGTGTGTGTGTGTGTGTGTGTTGGCTCCTATGTATGAGTGTGCTGAACCTGCCTTGGTGAAGAATACAGAGAGATGAGTTTCACTGCCAAGAATCCAAATAGGGAACTTTGGAGACTTGAGGAATGTTCCGACCTGAAACAGAAAAACACACACACACACACACACACACACACACACACACACACACACACACACACACACACACACACACACACACACACACACACACACACACACACACACACACACACACACACACACACACACACACACACACACACACACACACAGATTAATGCCTACTCTGTGGAGTATAATTTAAATAAATCAATAAATCTCTTAATATTTATTGAACTTCAAATATAAAACAAACTGAAAAACATAAAAAACGGTGTGTTGGGGTCCTTCGGGTCTTTTCTTCAGTCTAGTTGTGGCAGCAGGTGGCCACACAGGTGCCTGATTGATTTATTTCTTTTAAAAATAATTCTGATCGATGTGGAGAAAACTGAATACATAGGCCCGACATATCGGTCAGCCTCTAATCCTAATGAGTCTTATTCAGACATAAACGGCCTCTCCATTTTGTCCAATGAGGAGAAACTGCTACAAGGTTGAAATAAAACACATTTACATAAATAATCTCATATTGTTGTTTTCAGAAGGGAACAGATGAAACTGTAAACAGCCGTTTGGCCCGTAGTGGCTTGCTTTAGGAGTTCATCATTTTCTACTGTAAAGAACTGTGTTTGCTGGTAAAATAAAACAGCTGGCACACGGGAGCGTTTGTACCTTGCAGTAGCGCAGCGACTCCATGAGTGTGAGGAAGCCGACGGATGCTTGTTTATGGACTCCATGTAGCTCTAAAACGGATCAAACAGAAACACAAAACTTCAACATAAGTGAAGGTTACTGACGTCAGACCGGGGATGATTATAATCCCCATTCTGTCTGCTTTAAGATCACCACCCTGAGAAGAAATGGCTCAACCACGAGAGCAGAAAAGAGCTGTGAAGCGGTTTCATGTTTCAGGAACGAAACTCACTCATGCCAGAGCATTCCCTGTCTCCATCCCAAACATTAGAGACGGCATGGCCAGTAACAAGAAGGTTCACCAGGCTCTGACTGCACAAGAGAAACAGAAACACTCTGCAAACACACCGCCGTCCAGGTACATGAGCGATATCAACAACCAGTAAATCAAATAAAAAGGTGCAGATGGACTTTAATACCTTCCATGGCCATGAATGGGGTCTATGAGGGGCTCTGTGGGGTCCTGGATCTCATTTCTAATATTCTCTATGCCCTGAAAGACAAAAAACACCCCCTCTCACTATTGTAACTAGCGATGCACCGATATGACATTTCTGGGCAGATACCGATATTAAGATCACTGTTATGGCCGATAACCGATACACTGACATTAATGCTTCTGAAATCAGCAGATTTTGTGTAGAATGAAAATTATTAAAGCTGAATTTACATTATTATGCACACACACACACACACACACACACACACACACACACACACACTTCTTCTGAGATGATTACAACCACAGTCACATGACTAAACAACCCCCAGCAGACCGATACGTTAAAAAGTGACTAACATCGGCCGATACCGATATCTTGTCCATCCCTAATTGTAACTAATAAAACATTCATCCTAAAACAAACAGTGGCGACACATTTTAAGAGATGAAATGACCGATATGGTTATGTAACATTTCATAATTAAACCAGTTACCTATTTAAAACGCACTGCCACCTGCTTTTCTTTACCTTTGTGATGATGACAGAATACAAGAAAAGCAAAACACCACAGCACCCCCTCCAGGAGTGGTGCAGCGACAGCACCTCTTCTCTGAGGTCAGCCACTGACAGCACCGTTCGCTGGCTGCGGGTCAGGGAAAGGAGCGGAAAGAGAAATCAAACAACCACAAGTCAGATTTATCAGGGTTCAGGAGGGCTTCAGCAGCGGTTGGTGCTCTCTCAGAATAAACACAAGACTAATGAGAAGACAGTCAAATACAAAAGTATTTGCTCTTCTTGTTCTAGACCTTAGAAAGGTTGCTGCTGAAGCGGTCAGCATTAGCTAACAAACCCTTCTTCAGCTGCAAGCACCGCTTTCTGCTGACTGTGTCTGAGCTGCCAGCGAGCTGCATGAGGAACCTTCCTTATTCATACAGCAAACACCTACAGCATGCATTTAATGTGTGTGTGTGTGTGTGTGTGTGTGTGTGTGTGTGTGTGTGTGTGTGTGTGTGTGTGTGTGTGTATTCAGCGTATTGTGAGCAGAGTGAAAGAACTAACAGAATATGAAACCCAAAATAAATCAGCACAACCTGCTCTTATCTGCTGATGACATCTTCTGGGTGAGAACAGCGAGAGCCTAATCCAGCATAAGAACAGCTAAATCTGGATTTGACAGTTTTTATCCGTCCGGAAAACCCAGTGAATCCTTTATTGTCATACAGGAAAGGGAAAATAACAAATACTAAATCATTATTTCATCACTTACTGGAGAGCGCTGTGGAACTGCTCAAAGCCCAGGTCCTCAGCAGCCAGAGCAGCTAGACACAAGAAAACAGACAAAAACAGAACAAATCCCACTAAACGTTACAGTCAGTAAAGACCAAGCCACGGTGAATGATAGCATTTTATTACCCCGACATACTTAAAGAGCAAGTCACCCCCTGCCAGATTCTTACTCAACTCCCACTTCCTGTTTGAAAAATGCAACAAATGCTGTTGCCTGGCAGACAGAGGGCGGAGCCGCTAACAAATACACACACACAGGCTCACAACAGCATTGTGACATCATAATGACCAGTTTACATCATAGCATACCTCTTAGCCAATAGCGGTGGCAGATTTAAATTCAAATGCAGAGTTTTTACTTGACAACGGCGTAACACTGACAGTTTTAGGCAGAATATTTAAATTTTAACTAAAATGCACTAAAGTGCCAAATTATTGACAACACGTGTCTGCAGCACAATTAGACACACATTTATATAGTTTATCAGTAAAAAAAAAAGTTGATTTGGGGGTGACTTGCTCTTTAAAGAGCAAGTCATCCCCTGCCAGATTCTTACTCAACTCCCACTTCCTGTTTGAAAAATGCAACAAATGCTGTTGCCTGGCAGACCGAGAGGGCGGAGCTGCTAACAAATACACACACTCACAACATTGTGACATCATAATGTACCATCTAACATCATAGTGTACCTCTTAGCCAATAGCGATGGCAGGTTTAAAGAGCAAGTCACCCCCTACAAGAAACGTACTTCACTCCCACTTCATGTTTGAAAAATGCAACAAATGCTGTTGCTTGGCAGACCGAGAGGGCGGAGCCGCTAACAAATACAAACACACACAGGCTCACAATGGAATTATGACATCATAATATACCAGATGACATCATAGCATACCTCTTAGCCAATAGCGGTGGCAGATTTAAATTCAAATACAGTGCAGAATTTTTCCCTGACGACGGCGCAACACTGACAGTTTTAGGCAGAATATTTTCATTTTAACCAAGATGCACTGAACTGCCAAATTATTGACTACACGTGTCTGTTGCATGATTAGACACTCCTTTATATAGTTTATCAGCAAAAAAAATGTGATTTGGGGGTGACTTGCTCTTTAAATTCAAATGCAGTGCTGAGTTTTTGCCTGATGACGGTGCATCGCTGACAGTTTTAGGCAGAATATTTAAATTTTAACTAAGATGCACTAAAGTGCCAAGTTATTGACTACATTTGTCTACAGCATAATCAGACACTCATTTATATAGTTTATCAGTAAAAAAAATGTGATTTGGGGGTGACTTGCTCTTTAAATTCAAATGCAGTGCTGAGTTTTTGCCTGATGACGGTGCATCGCTGACAGTTTTAGGCAGAATATTTAAATTTTAACTAAGATGCACTAAAGTGCCAAGTTATTGACTACATTTGTCTACAGCATAATCAGACACTCATTTATATAGTTTATCAGTAAAAAAAATGTTGATTTGGGGGTGACTTGCTCTTTAAAGAGCAAGTCACCCCCAAATCAACTATTTTTTTCTGATAAACTATATAAATGCGTGTCTAATTGTGCTGCAGACACATGTAGTCAATAGTTTTGCACTTTAGTGCATTTTCGGTAAAATTTAAATTTTCTGCCTGAAACTGTCAATGTTGTGCCGTTGTCAGGTAAAAACTCTTCACTACATTTGAATTTAAATCTGCCACCGCTATTGGCTAAGAGGCATGCTATGATGTAAACTGGTACATTATGATGTCACAATGTCGTGAGTGTGTGTATTTGTTAGTGGCTCCACCCTCTCGGTCTGCTAGGCAACAGCATTTGTTGCATTTTTCAAACATGAAGTGGGAGTGAAGTACGCTTCTTGTAAGGGGTGACTTGCTCTTTAAGCATCCAAAGAGACAGACAGGACTTACTGGGTTCTGGTTCCTGTTGTGGCTGGCTGCTCTCTGCTTCTGACGAGTCCTGTGTTTGAGATGCAGTCAGACTCTTGGACAGCACGCTAGTCTTTGGGCTTTGTCCCTTAGCCCAGGTCACCAGGCAGAATCCTGAGGTGGGGCCGGCACAGGCGGACTCTAGGATCTCACTGAGTGTTGAGCACAACGCCGTCCTCTGCTCCTCCTCTAACAAACACAAACATGTAACAGGTGTTCATCGGTCTACAAACAGCAAAACTCAATCATTCAAATGCTGCTGGAGGTCATCTACCTGACAGCTGTCTCCAGTTTGAGCTTTCTCTGCTGAAGAGGATGTTCTTTAAAAGGAATGCCTGAAACGAAAACACCAACTTTATCTCTGGATGTGCACAAATATTACAGGATGGTGTGTTTTCCACTAGTCCAAGTCTAGACTGATTAATGAGCCATTATACCTGGACAGGTGCAATTACAGCACATGGCCCTCCTTCAAACTGCTCCAGTGCCGTTTGCTCATACTCACTAAAAACAAACCCTGAAAAACAAAAAAAAAAAAACATGACGACTTTCCGTTACGGGGAAACGTTGGAGAAGCAACAGTCAACGGTTAGATTAACACCAAACTCATTCATATTCCAAAACAACAAACTCTTACCTTGGGACCATCTTCTGAAGATGGAGGTGGACACCCCTCCTCCCGAGGGTCTCCCCCAAACCAGGTCTATCACATCTTTATTAACCTCGGACATGGCTGACTCAGTCCCTTATGGTCCAACAGTCAGGCGGGGTTGGCTTTAACGCTGAAAGTCCACTTCTCAGGGCGGGCTGCGCCTGTGGCATTGGCCACGGTTGCCTGTGAGCAACCACTCCGACGGTTTTCAGCAAACAGCAACCCACCAAGCGCTGGAACAGAAACGATGAAGGATGCACACGCTATGAGACTAGCTCGGTCGGGAAACTAGCTAAAACGCTAACGCGCCAACGGCAACAACGGACCATAACGGCTGTGTGTCAAACCAACAGAAGGAAAGTGTAGCGAACAGCTTTCACGCTGCATCATCGTCGTCGTTTTGGAAAGGAGCATGTTGACTAGCAACGTAAGAGATGAGCAACACCAAGCTTTAGCATGATCACTGGCGGCTAATCTAACGTCGCTTTGTCATTCATTTACTTCGCTAAATTCAACGGAAACCTTACAGGCAGAGCGGGTTTGTGATTTCATCAATTCAAACAAAATACACTTTAATTACCTTAAAACGCGGCCGTGTGCTTGGAAAGTATATTCTCATGAGCAATTCCACAGCCCGCACCGTCTCTGTCATTCGTTTATTTACAATAAATTGCAAAAAATGAAAAAAAAAATATTACAAACGTGCCAAAAACGTACCTCATCATTGGTTACAATCTAGAGTTTCGTATACGTCACTCATCAGACGTGATTTCATTGGTTGATAAACGTGTCAACCATAAACGGCATTGCGGAAACAGTAACTAGTAAAAATAAATGTTAGCGTTTAGATTTTACAATGATCAGATTAACGTCGCGTTAAAACAAATACTCAAGCAAACCCGCCACACATTATAAAATGGTTCAGATAAAAAAGCGATTTCCAACGTGATGAGGTATTTAGTCCGTAACCACTTTCCGTAGTTGTGATGCAGTCAGTCTCCGGCGCATGCGTATTGCAAACTTCTGGCTATTCAGTTTCCTACACGCGTGTACACGCTTTTGTGTAGTTTTTAAGAAGGAAAGTTGTCATAGAAGTAATAAACATCAGAATTCCCTTTAGAATGGGAGGCCAGGCTAAGGGCAAGAAGAAAAACAAACCTAAAAGGAAAGACCACCGCTCAAACCAGGGTCAGTCCGATGTTCTCGGTTCATTTACTCAACATGTTGTAGACCGTTCAAATCCACTCTAAGTGAGACGTAACTGCTTGGTAAACCCGTGTGTCTTTTCAACAGATGTTGGATTTGTTGGCTTGTCACCCCAGGAGAGGATGAAGCTGAGGATACATGAGAAGGCTAAGAAGAAGACAGCTGAGAAGTACTCAGTGCAGCAGCTGCTGGAGAAGGTGACACTGACAGGAAACACGGTTCCCACTCACTGCTGCGGTCTGATGTATGCCTGTTTGTGTTGTTCAGACGCAGGAATCCATGGACAGCTTTGATTTTGAAATGGCTGGACTTTTCTGTCAGCGAGCCTTGGATGTGGACTCCAACAACCTGCAGGCTCTGGACATGCTGGGACACATCAGCTGTGAATTAGGACACATGCAGAAAGCTAAAGAAATATCCTTTATGTTCTTTAGAACCGGTCAGCCACACCGAAACACGGCTGTATTTTTATCATCAAAGCATTGATGCTCTTGTTTCCTTGACTGAGTCTCAAGTTCTCCTTCGTGCTGTGGAGCTGAGTCCAGATGTTGGTCACAGCAAGTACATGAATCTGGGACAAATCCACACCGGCCAGGAGGCTGTGGATTACTACAGCAGAGGGATACACGTCCTCCTGTCTGTGCTGGAGAAACAAGAAACAGTGGTGAGTGAGTGAGTGAGTGAGTGAGTGAGTGAGTGAGTGGGTGAGTGAGTGAGTGAGGATTCATGGCAGTCTATGGATAACACACTACTGCAGACATATAGATGTGGCCACAAGGGGGTGCTGTTGGGTATTATATAAAAGAAACATCTGTGCAGAAGGTCTTCATCACTGTCGGGTGATGAAGACCAGCGGGACTCTAATGTTTGGAGAGCTAGGACCACTGCAGCAGCAGCCGTGTGATCAGAGACTTTACAGATCAAACCCATAATCGGCTCACACTGGAGCTGCCACAAACACGCTCAACACTCACATAAAACGGTTCAAATAATGAACCTTGATGTTAATATTGTTTAACCATGTTCGGCTGTAAAAATGAACACACCATCCAACTGATATGTACACTTTTAAGTTTATGAATGCACTGTGATTTATTATCGTGATTGTTCAGTAAAACAATGTTGATTTTATATTTCCTCATCAGGCTGACGCGGTGATAGCTCGCTCCTGTTGTATTGTTGTGTGTCCCTTTTCTGCAGGTCTAGAAGCAGACTCTTGTTCATCGTTGGTTTTTTACCCCTTCCTTTTGTCTTTTCCTTTCTCTTTCACCTCTGTCTCCGTGTCTGGTCGGAATTAAAAAGCATCAAAAACAATAACAATAAAGTTTTAAGTATCAGGCGTGACATTAAAAGCAGACGCTTTGATGCTCCACCTGAGAGTGAATCTGTAAGACTTGTCACCAGCATTCAGACATCAACTCTGTTTGCTTCACAGCCAGACAGGACACGGGGAAATTAAATAAAAATTAAGTTTATATAAAATCAAAGCAAACCAGTTCTCAGAAGCAGTGTTTCAAAATAAAAGTAAAGCAAATGACAAGAGCATATTTAGATTCAAACCAAATTCTGTCTTATAATAAAACATTGTTGGAAAGTAGAAAAGCTTCATTTATAGGACAGTATGTTCCCAGTAGTCAACAAATGAACACATCGTGCATTTGTTTGTTTACACATTTCAGTAGATTGTGACATGTTTATGGTGTTTATTATAGCAGACTTTTATTCTGGTGTAATGGTTGATTCTGAAGAATCTCATGAGTTTGGTTAGGAAAGTGTTCATGCAGGTGAAAGTTTTCTATACGTATAGACACGTCTACATTTGTTGAATGTTTAGGAACATTTGTGTTTTTGTCTACTTCATTTATACGTTTATAACAAATACCGGTAGTCAGATGTAAGGAAGCAGCCCTGTAATTTTTATTTAATTCTTTTATTTCTGCAGGCTCAGGCTGCTGCGGGAGCCGCGGCCGCCATGACGGATGAACACCACGAGCTTCCTACAGCGAAGGACGTCAGCGTAGCCTACTGCTCCATCGCTGAGATTTACTTAACGGACCTCTGGTATTAGAGACGGCATCACTCCGCTCACACTCGCAGCTCCATCGCTCCATCTCATGCTTCCTCATTTCTGATGGGTTGAGATCAGTTGCTTCTCTGTGTGTGTGTGTGTGTGTGTGTGTAGCATGGAGGAGGGAGCTGCAGAAAAGTGCAGAGAGTTCATCGAAAGAGCATTAAAGTATCACCATGACAACCCAGAGGCTCTCCAGCTTATGGCCAGTTACCTGTTCAGTACAGAGAAAATCCAGGTCAGAACACACACACACACACACACACACACACACACACGCACACGCACACACACACACACACACACACACACACACACACACACACACACTTCTGATGAGTTATCACCACATTAAAGCAGGAATCTGCTGAGTTAATTATTCTGAGCAGATTGAATTGTATGGCATTAATCAGCAGATGGACACTTACATTAACACACACACACACACACACACACACACACACACACACACACACGGGTCGTGCCAATAGGAATGTTAATTACTTGGCGGATCACCGAGGTCATGTAGTCATCTGATAAATGGAAAACAGACGACGGAGCTGAATGTTTGTCAGGGAGAATCCCGTGATCTACAGGAAGTTGCAGAGGTACTTTGGGCCAAGAGTTTAAGGAAGAACATCAATGAAATCTTTATTATTTAGTTTTAGTTTAGCCAGGGTAAAAGAAGCTATCCAGTAAACGTAACAGCTGAATCTTACCTCTCTGGGCTAAAGGCCATGGTCTAGCCTTCTCTGTCTCGGTGCTGTATCAGCGATGGATGCTTCTCCGCTTGAGCCATTGTTTGTTCCCACCACCAACCTGAGGTGGATCTGCAGTACCATCAGCGAGCTGTAGGGGGCAGACTAGTACCGATCAGGCCTCAGCTGCCAGACATCAGCTGACCTGCGTGCATAAACTGTTGTAATAATGACCACTAATGAACTGGCTTTAAACGAACCACTGTTGTTTGTAAACAAGAGTTTGGTGAATTTACATGTTTACTCTCTTAAGTGCTGCAATTTTCTAGGACGCTCTTATTTTTATAAACATTTGATTTTCTCCTGGCTTTAGGAAGGTAAACAGTACCTGCTGAAAAGTGTTGGGTTGTGGCTTCCTGCGCAGAAGGAAAGCGCCGCGCCCTGCACCACAGAAGAAGACGTGCAGGTGAGTTGTGTTGTACAGCTGCACTCGCTGTGAGCCAACAGGACTGTCTCAGAGTGCTTCTCAGCAAACGCAGCCTGAAGGACACCAGTGGGGGTAAAATGTGAGACATGAGCAAGCGAAGGACAGTGCTGAAAACCACCTCAGGAGCATCTGCTGTGTTGAGTGGGGAGAAGGCAGGAATGAGGGGATTGTTCTGCAGGAGAAACACGTCTGCAATGTCAGCGCTAGGACACAAACTGTTTTAGTATCTTCCACTAAATTATAGCAGCTTCATTTCAAAAGTTGAACAGATGTGATACGGACAGCGTGCTGCAGAAGGATCCAGAGCTGTAACTCTTATCTGCACCTGCAGGTTGATCGGAACGCAGCCCGCTGACACCTGGGCTGAGATTAACAGCAAATAGCTGCAGAGCAATTCATACCTTTTGAAATTGGATCGAGTTATTATCAGACAAAAGAGGAACAGTGTTTGTGGTTGCCTGTGCAAACACGGAGGTGGTCCTACTGTCCTTTTTGTCCCTGCAGAATGAAGTCCCTCCATACGAGTCTCGCATCACCACCGCCAAACTGCTTATCGAGTCCGAGGAATACGAGGTAACGTGTTTGTTGTGCTCGCTCGCTCGCTGTGTGTTGGCCATGCCGCACCGTGGGGGGGCAGCCTGGCATTTGTGTGTTTGTGTGCTTTTCTTTCTAGTGAATAGCGCTGGAGGTGGGAAGGCCATGCCTGGTCTTTATGCCCTTCAGAGTTTAGTGTCAATAATTGAGTGATATTTACAGAGAGACTGGGGTGAGGGGAGGGGCTGCAGAGGAAGGAGTATAAAGAAAAGAAGGCAGTGAACCTCCGTTTTGATGAATTGCTGCCATATCACTGAAACGGCACACATCTCTACTAAATCACTCATCAATTTCCAGTGTAAATGGCCTCAATCTCAGCTGCCTTCAGTTCGGTGCTAAAACTCCTAACAGTCATTAAGGCTGGAGTCGTTTTCTGTGATGACTGCCACGCCGACAGCAGTGGAGCCGTTTCTGTTGTGATCCTCTGGTTAATGATGAGTCAGTCATGTTGGGTGGGTTGTGGTTGTGAAACGAGAACGGTGTCCTCCTCTGTTTCTGTTTTTTCTTCTCCACATCTACACCCGACCAGCTGAGCTGCAGTCGATGGGCGTGCTTGTGCAGGAGATGGGCTGTCGGGTGTATCAGTAAAATGACGACGTCTCGGTCCGTAGTTTCTGACACGTCGTTCGTCTTCATCGTCCCGTTGGTGCCGTCAGACCCGAAGCCCGGGACCGCACCCTTGCTCCGTGATGGAAAATGTCAGATATTTGTTACTACGTAAACAAACACGCACCAGGACCTGCGCCTGGACAGCTCTGGTCACATTTGCATTCAGTCACTTTAGAAACGATTGGATTGTCTTTCTGAGTTTTCACTTAAAGAGACAATGTGTAGTTTTTACCGTTAATCTCTGGAAACATCCATCGAAATGCTGCTGAAAATGACTGAAAAGATGCTCAGTTGTTGAAAAATGTTGGCGGCTTCGTAACATATAACCATAAAAATCAGGTCTAAATTACATGGGGGTGGGTCTAAGACGCCATGTTTCCTTCTACAGGAGCCCGTAAGGACAAAATGCATTTACTGATTTGTAACACGGTTACAAATGTTCACCATTAATAACGTTCTTTTACACAAGTAGCTCTTCGCCTGTTGCCAGTGATGAAAGGGAATCTGATGTACTTGGGATTTCGCTGGAAGTTGTACTCCCAGGGAGTTTTGGCCCTAATGGCCATCCGCTGGTAAGGTCTCACTCGAACACAAAAATACCGCTTTCTTGCAGTGATTTAGGTATCTACTGCCCCCTATCACCATAGCAAATGCACACTGTCACTTTAAAGCCACATAGCTCACTTCTGCTAATATTCGCTGCTGAACCAACTGGCTTCGCATATTCTCTATCAAAGTTTGGGGTGTTTTTATTTTCCTATACTGTACACGTTTTTAAACACCAAGTTCACAGAGAAACTGTTTATTGTACTTATTATTTTAGAAGAATTATTGATCACTCTGAGTTTAACATGCAGGCTAAATGTAAAATAGTCTTCTACCCCTATTTCCTGCATTAGCCGCCAGTAGAGAATAGACGAGAAAGCTCGGATTAGAAAAGCCTGTCACCTGCACATCAAATCAAATAACTCACCCATCTTGACTCATGGTGGGGAAGGCTGTTGTTGGTTTAGCGTCCAGGAATCATCAGAGAACGTCTTGGCTAGTAGAAGCTAACCATTAGCATTAGTAACTTCACAACATGGCAGAACAGGAAATAAGACTCCAAATCCTGCTGCCTGGAGCTCAACTCAGCTGTGGTTCTCTTCTCGTTCCTGAAACAGGAGCTCCAGAGCGTTGTTCCCAGAGGGCGACTCTCAGGGCGTTCATTTATACTAGAGACCACTGCAAACGTGTTGAAAAATGAGTGAACTTAGTCTTTAAATGAGGACCGTGCAATACAGTGTTAAGAAGTATTCCAGACTGCATGTCAATAATATATGTTTGGTAATCAAACAGACCCCTAGAAATATGTCATTTATTCATATTCTCTTCCTTCTTTACATTTATTTTAACATTTAAAGCTAGATCAAAAACAAAATACACCATAGTGAATTTTATGCAGCTGCACGAGTATACAACTATTTGTCATTAGAAATAATTCATCTTCAATTAGTTGATTCAACAATGCATTGTTTTGTTTTTATTTACTTATTGTTTTCAGAGCCCTTATCAGATCCCGGACAAGACCCCAATTTTTCATGCACATTGTTACGTGTATACTTGTATTATTCTTATGAGGGTATAGTAGCCTTTTCAGTAAATATATCAAAATAAGTAGAAATAACACAATGAGATTATTTTTGACCAGATCATGTAGATGTGTGATCTTTTCTTGTTAGCTGGTGAGAAAAATGTCACTGTGGTGACAGACGGAGTCACAAAAGAATTATGTTTCCTCAGGCTTCCTGTTGGTGGCAGACAGCACCTCATCACTTGTGCACTCCTCACATGGTGACAAGAACCTCACACATTATGACCTTTTGTTCTGTGAAGGAGAACCTCTGCTGCTGTTTTCTGTTAAGGGTTGTGAGGTTTACAGTTTTATACCGTCTAGCTAAAATAGAAGAAATATTACTGCTAGACACGGGCCAATATGAGATCATAACAATTTACTAATCCTGATTAACCCTCTCAGGCTCTAAATGAGTTCTGATAGAAGGACGAACAACTAAGTCCTTCAGGGGAACTTCTGAGTTAAAAAGTGCTCATGAAACACGAATGTGGAGTAACCAGGTAGGCATGTTTTAACTGTTGCACACCTGCAACGCCTGCCTCCAGAGGGTTACAGCAGTTTCACAATTATACAGTCAATCTGTTAGAAACTGTAACGCAAACATCTTGTTAAAATAAAAATATGTATTAATATAATGTTGGTTTTGTGTGTGTGTGCGTGTGTTTGTGTGTGTGTGTGTGTGTGTGTGTGTGTGTGTGCGTGCGCACGCGCGCACATATATCTATTTCTACTGAGATTAAGTTTAAAAGCAGAGATTAAGTTTAAAGGTGTGGAACACTGAGAAACCCAGTTTTAATGATTATCTCTGATTCTAACGGGTCACTCTGAGTGTTTCATGCAGGCTGAACATGAGAATAGTCTCCTACACCTATCTCCTGCATCAGCTTCTGATAGAAAACAGACGGTGAAACTCTAGGATAGAAAATCCTGACAGATCTACGTCACCCTGTCACTAACATTCATGGACTCACCCATCTGGACTCACGACGGGGAAGGCTGTTGTTGGGTTAGCGTTCAGGAAACAGCAGAGAACGTCTCAGCTAGCAGAAGCTATCCATTAGCATTAGCAACTCCACCACACAGCAGAACTCCTCCAGGCTTGTGTAATAGACTCTCAGGATTAATGTTGGATCCAACTCCGCTCTGACCAGTACCTACACTTTATGGAGTAGCTGCTTCACTAATTATTGTCTCTATATGTTGTTATCATTTTGTTGTGCTTATTTCCTAATTCTAATTGTGCTCATCATTTATTTTTCTTGCACCGCAGCAGTTTCCTAGTGTTGTGATTCTCATATGGCAATTAAACCTGATTCTGAAATAAAGGAAAACGCTCAAAAAGTTTAATAACAACTGTCAGCTTCAACCTGCTCTACTGTATTCGTGGCTTCATGGCAACTACCAAAATTATTTATGCTGAGAATTCTGTTTTAGTTTGCTGTGACTTGCAGAAGTCATCTCAACACCCATTGGTCTACTGTGGGGTCGTGACCCCAACGCAGGAACCACTAATCTGGTCTGCTGTGGCTGCTAACACCTTACATAAACCAAATACTGTTTCAGTCAGAGACAAACATCCAACCACATTCCTTTAAGCAACAAATGATATAAACCTAATTAATTTGACACGTTTAATCAAATGAACAAATTAAACCCATCCTAAAAACGAGAATACGGATGTTTAAAGTGTTTAAGAGGCACGTTTCAAAGCGTGTTTGGTGTAAAACAGCTTTTTCTGAGAGGGAAGTCCAAACAATGCCTTTACTGGGCTCGGGCCGCATAAATACCAGAACTTTGTATATTCTAAGAAATCAGCGCCAGGAGTTTTCAGACTCCTGTTAATTGCTCCAGGGGGCCTAACTCATCATTTCCAGGCATGGATTGGCCACCAAAGAGTCCAAAAACAAGTTTTGGGATGTGCCAAAGAAGACTGTTGGTCTAGAATAAGTCAAATGTTGTGTGCCATGCACGTGACACGTATGATGCCACGTTCAGGCTGCACTATTAGACACATAGTTTTATGTTATTGTACAAAATGCATCCAATCCTCAGCAACAATTAAAGATTTCTTTGTTTCTGTTCTCAGACTGAAAAGCTCAGCGTGATGAAACTGAGAGGTCTGACAGCACGACCCAAACATCAGCTGTTAAAAACAAGCAGCGCTCGCTCTACAGCATCAGCGCGGTTAGCTCCTGCTAGCTCAGGAGAACGAGCTGAACCCACTTTTAACCGCATGGTGGTTACAGTTGGGCTTTGGTAGATTGTCAGTGGTTTAGTTCAAAACAAACAAATGTTTTCTGTTAGTCTCAGGAGATGTGTGTATTCTCACTCACACGGACACTTCCACGTGAACCCATCTTCATCCTTCACGGCTGCTGATTCAGCCGTCACGCGGCGGGCTGAAAAACGGACAAACGCCCCTCTCTGACAGCCGTTAAGGCATCTTTCAGCGCAGCTATCACACAGGCTGCAGGAGAGTTACTCACCTTGTTGTTGTCACTCTCATTTGTATTTATTTATGAAATGTTTCCATCCTTGCATTTAGCTCAGTGTGTGCTCCTTACACTCCCAGGCTGGCGTGCATGGACCACTGAGATTTATTTACTTTAGTATGGATGTCGGTGTGTGTGTGTGTGTGTGTGTGTGTGTGTGTGTGTGTGTGAGAAAGCTATTGCTCGCCCTCTCCTGTAAGGTGATTTGTCTTCCTCCAGTCGCTGCTGTGTGCTCCAGTAAAATGATTTTGTTAAACAGAATT